ATAAGACAAAGTCTCTCACACATCTAAGGAATACCTCTTCCAAGAAACATTTGTTTGTTATTTTTCCAATTGATAGTACAGTCCATATGCTCTACCAACCATCCAAAAGCATCAATTCTTCTTCCTTTTACCTTACCATGGTACAATATTGAAATACATATGAAACAATTGAAAGTACCATGGATTGGTTCAGGCACATCTTTGTCTTTATACTGACATCTTTGCTTTATGACACTTAAGTCTTTGATAGCAGTTTTACTGAATGAAATACATCTTTTCACTTTAACACTATTATTTCTATAGGTGTTGACTGTGGATACAAGGCAAATTAATTTCCTGAAAACAGCAAGATTTTCTTGATTTATTATGATGTTTCCTATTGGTTGAGTTGTGAAGATTCGGTTGTTTGATTTGGTTTTTTGGTTTTCCTTCTGAGATGTAATCCATACTAAGGGTTGTATGTTGTTATGTGCCATCAAGTCTCCCGTGACTCTTGGTGACCCTGTGTAAAACAGCTCTGAAACCTGACCAGTCCTGAACCCGTTTCACAGACTCTGACACATCTACTCCCATTGCCCTAGTAACTGTACCAATCCATTTCATCTGGAGTCAACCTCTTCTGCGCTGTCCCTCCACCCTTATGAGTATGATGTCCTTCCACAAGGATTGGTCCCACCTGGCCTCAAGCCTGAAGTATGTGAGATAGAGCTTCAAAGTCCTAGCGTCTAAGAAGAAACTGAGTTTCACCGTCTTCAAGACAGACTTATTTGTTTTCTTGGTGGTCCATGTTATGTTCAAGATTCTTCTCCAGCACCACAACTCGAAGGCGTGAATTCTCCTTTTGCCATCTTTAGTCAGTAATTATGAAGACCAGGGATTGGATCAGGCACACTTTAGTCTCTAGACTGACATCGTTGCTTCTCAGTACTCTGGAAATGTCCCTTACAGCAAGATTTACCTAATGCAATTTGTCTTTTGATTTCCTGACTGCTGATGTCAAGGGTGTTGACTGTGGAGCTGAGCAAGCTGTAATTATTAACAAACTCAATCTCTTCTGCATTTATCATGGTGCTGCATTAGTGGCAGCAATCATCCCAGTGGTGAAAATCTTTGTCTTTTTTTTTATTGTAAATATTTTGCTTATTTACATTGTGTTTCAGCTTGGAAGGAGGAGTGGCATCCACTTCCATAATAGCTTGCCTCTGGAAACCCTATAAACTTGTAGGAAGGATGAAAGGCACCGAAGCATCGAGGACTCTCCTTTATAGGGTCACTATAAGTCGCCTGCGACTCAACGACACTTAACAACAACAATAAAAAATTGTGTTTCACACAGTCCTCTAGTCACATTGTGTTTCATGTGATCATTTCCATGCACTGTGTTTTATAAAATTAATCTTAGAATTTTTTATATTGAGCTTCAATCCATATTGAAGACTATAGTCCTTGACCTTCTACAGCAAGTCCTCCAGGTTCTTCTCACTTCCAGCAAGCAGAGCTTTGTCATCTACATATCGTAGGTTGTTGATTAGTCTTCCTCCAATCCTGATGCCACATTTGTCCTCATAAAGCCCTGCTTCCCAAATGATCTGTTCTGCCTATAGATTGAAAAGGTATGAAGATAGCATACATCCCTGACACACTCCTTTCTTGATTTTGAACCATGCATTGTTTCCTTGCTCTGTTCTGAGGACTGCCTCCTGGTAAAAGTATAGATTTCACATAAGCACAATCAAGTGTTCTGGGATTCATTCCCATTCTTCTCAAGGTTAACCACAATTTATTGTGACATACACAGTCAAATGCCTTGGCATAGTTAATGAAACAGAAAGCTATCCCTCTGGGACTCTTTGTTTTTGCCAAGATCCATCTGACATAGGTGATAGTGTCTAGTGCCATGTCTTCTTCTAAATCCAGCCTGTATTTCTTGTAGTCCTCCATCTATGTATTGTTCCAGTCATTTCTGGATAATCTTCAGCAATGTTTTATTTGTGTGTATCAGGAAGGGATTTTTGTCCCGGACAGCACTGAGGGAAAGGTTTTTGGGCATAGTGTCTCTGCTCTTCTTTTTGTACCACATGGTCCTCACAATATGATAAATTCCAAGGGCAGGACTATGTCTCCCTTAGATCTGGCATGATAGTGTTTGTTTGTTTGTTTGTTTGGCCCAAGGGATGCAGGCCCAAATGTCCAACACAGATCTGGGCCTGAATGTCTCGCCTGGCCTAGGCTGGCTGGTTGTTAACAAAACCAATAGGATCCTGGGAGAATGGGGGATATCTGAGTGGGAGGCAAAATGGGAGTCTCAGATTCCTGCCATGTGTGATTTGCCGGGGTTCCTGACGCACGTTAGGGGTGCAAAAGATGAAATCAGACTCTGGCTCTGTGCGGAGCTCTGTGTTTCTGACTTAGATCTGTAGTCTTTGATGTTCTTGAGCAAGTGCTTCAAGTCTTCTTCACTTTGTTAAAGCAAGTTTGTGTCGTCTCTATAAGATAGGTGGTTAATGAAGGTAAAGGTAATCTGCCTGAGCAGTCTCCCAGCTGAAGACTAAATAGGGGAATTGTTGATTGCCTTGGACTTGAACATGACTCATAGTGACCCTATGAACAGAAGGCCTGAAGCCCCTCTACAACTATTGACATTTTTCAAAGTTCGTAGAATTTCCCGAGACATGTTGTTTAGGAAGTGAATGCCACTCCTGCTTCCAAACCTGCCATGGTATGTTATTGTTGTTATGTGCCATTTAGTTGCCTGTGATGTACAGCCACCCTATGTTCAGCAGCTCTGAACCCTTCCCTGCCCTGAGCCAGTCTCACTAACTCCAACACACCAACCCCTATCACCCCAGTCACTGTATCAATCCACCGCATCCATCTCATCCGGGATTTCTCTCTTCTGCTCTGCCCATCCACCCTTCCAAGCACGATGTCCTTCTCTAAGGGCCAATTTCTCCTGGCCCCATGCCCAAAGTAAGTGAGACAGAGCTTCAAAATCCTAGTCTCAAAGGATAGACTTGGTTTCACCCTCTCCAAAACAGATCTATTTGTTTTCTTGGCAGTCCATGTTATGTTCAAGATTCTTCTCCACAACTTGAAGACATCTATTCTTCTTCTGTCATTGTCCAACTCTCTGAAGCCTAATAAATAATTGAGAATACCATGTCCTGGATTAGGTGTACCTTTGTATTTAAATTGACATTGTTGCTCTTCAGCACTCTGGAGAGGTCCATGACAGCAAATTTTCCCAATGCAATTCATCTTTTGATTTCCTGACTAGAAAAGACTGTTGACTGTGGGTCCGAACAAGCTGTGATTGTCAACAACCTCAATCTCTTCTCCATCTGATATGGTGCTGCCAATTGCCCCAGTTAAGATAATCTTTGTCTCCTTGATGTTGAGCTTCAATTCATATTGAAGACTACAATCCTTTACCTTTTGCAACAAGTACTTCAGGTCCTCCTCAGTTTCAGCAAGCAGGGTTGTGTCATCTGCATAATGTAGGTTCTTAATGAGTATGCCTCCAATCCTGATGCCACCTTCTCATAAAGCCCTGTTTCCTGAATAATCTGTTCTGCATACAGACTGAAAAGGTACTGGCAAAGTATGTATCCCTGATGCCTCCTTTCTTGATTTCGAACCATGCAGTATTTCCTTGCTCTGTTCTGAGGACTTCTTCTTCGTCCAAGTATAGGTTTCATATGAGCACAATTAAGTGCTCTGAGATTCCCAGTTTACTCAAAGTTAGCCACAATTTATTGTGATCCACACAGCCAAATGCCTTTGCATAGTCAAGGAAACTCAGATAGACATTCTTCTGGTCCTCTCTTCTTTCTGTCAAGATCCAACTGACATTGACAATAATGCCCCTAGTGACCTATTCTAAACTTAGCCTGTATTTCTGGTAGTTCTCTATCAATGTACTGTTCAAGCATTTTCTTGACAACCTTCAGCAGGATTTTCCTAGTGTGTGATATTAGTGATATTCTTTGATAATTTCCACTCTGTTGGGTCACCTTTTTTTGGTATGAGAATAAATATGGATCTTTCCACTCAGTTGGCCAAGTAGTTGTCCTCCAGATTTCTTGGCATAACTTGGCGAGTACATGCAGGACAACATCTGTTTGTTAACATGTCAATTGGTATTCCATCAATTCCTGGGGCTTTATTTTTTGTCATGTCTTTCAGAGCAGCCTGCACTTCTTCCTTCATCATCATTGCCTCATGTTCATATGTTGTTTCTTGAAATTGTTCTATATCAACCAATTATTTTTGGTACAATGACTCTGTATACTCCTTCCATCTGCTTTTAATGCTTTTTGAATCATTCAATATCCTGCCCATAGTATCCTTAAACTCATGGCTTGAATTTAGTCTTTAGATCTCTCAGCTTAAGAAATACTGAGCAAGTTTAGCCGTTTTGATTTTCCCACTCCAACTCCTTGCACATTTCATTATAATATTTTGCCTAGTCTTCCTGAGCAGCCCTTTGAAATCTATTCAGCTCTTAATGTCTTGATTTCTTCCCTTGGCTTTGGCTTGTCAGCGTTCTAGTGCAATATTCAGTCTTTTCTGACATCCATTTTGGTTTTTTCTTCTTCTTCCTTCTTAGTAATAACTTTTTGCATTCTACATGAAAGATATTCTTGATATCTTTCCACAGATTTTCAGGTCTTTGTTCATTAGCATACAAAGGCTATCAACAAGGGAGGGGAAAAGAACTGGCCAGTAAGGACATACAAGTACCAGATAGTACAGATAGCAACAAATCTTTATATGAATTGATTGACTTTTAGAAGCCAGAACCTTAGAAAAGTGCTACCCAAAAGAAACAGAAAAGATCTGGTATGAAAAAACAATGTACACAAACTTTGTAATTAAGTCAGTATGAAATAAAAATTTTATAAAAAAATACAAAACAAACAGGCATTAGGTACCTTGGTGTCCTTGTTAATGGTGATCTTCTTCTAGCCTTCGAAGAGCAGGAACGATTTCATCCTAAGAGCTCTGCAAACACTCTGACACCAAGGTACCTAATGCCTGTTTGTTCACCATCAACAAAGAAGACCACACACTGGGAAACATCATTAAATCACAGCTGCTGAAGGACCCACAGGTGCTGTTTGCTGGCTACAAAGTGCCCCACCCCTTGGAGCACAAGATTATCATCCGAGTGCAGACCACACCTGACTACAGCCCCCAGGAGGCCTTCACCAATGCCATCACAGACCTCATCAGCGAGCTGTCCCTGCTGGAGGAGTGCTTCCGGGTGGCCATCAAAGACAAACAAGAAGGAATCGAGTAAAGGACTGGAAGGAACCAAGATCCTCCCATCTGCTGGACACCTCTCTCTGGGAACCAGGAGAGACTTCGGCAGACTGTGGCCCTCCTTGTAAGATATTCCACGAGCCCCTCACCTGACAATTCCATCTCTTGTACATATATGTTATCTTCCAAATAAAGTGTGACAGAGGGGAAAAAAATACAAAAAAGAAACCTCGCTTTACTTCAGAGAAAAGCCTCTTAGGAGCAGAGGTGTCAGTGGGTCTTCGGGGTACTGTGGAGGCAATAGAACTCATTTCATAGAGTCTTAAAATATGTTCTGTGAATAAAGCCTCTGTGGTCATTAAAAAGTAGTTTCTATAATTCTTAGCAGGAGTAGAACTCTTTTGAGCAAGTCCCACCCATCTCTAAGAAATAAAGGTCAAAGTTCCTATCATATGGTTCTTGAGAGGAACAGATAGAATCATGTTGAAAAGAGAGTCTTAGACACATCTTGGAATTCATCCAAATATCTGTGGAATTTCTCTCAGTTCTAGACCTCAGAATAGAGGATCTAAGGGAAAAGAGAAGATCATTACCAGAGTGAGCTCATGTTTTCTTAGAGTAATGTATAAGTTTGGGATACTAGTTAAGAAAAAAAAATACAGAAATAGCAAATAAGCTTTAAAAGTAACATTTCATCTTTATTTAAAATAAAAATTAAATCTATTACATTGCAAATTTTAAAATGCTAGCAAGTATCATACATTTCACAAACTTAAAAAAGGAAAATAACTACTAAATTTATACCATTCATAACACATCTCTAAAATATTACTCTGTCTATATTTTACTTGCTTATTTTTGATCTCTCATATAATGACACTTCTGCATATTTTTCTGTAGGAGGATTATAAGGAATTTTTTATCTAGAGAATTTTTTAAATTATTGCTGTTGTTATGTGTCATTGAGTCACGTCACTATTTATAATCTATAAATTAATATTTAGGTCATCAGTGTGTCCACTCTGAATCAACTTTTAAGCTGGCTTCTTTGATATCCATAAACAAGCACATGCATTACCTCCGAGACAATTCCAGTTTATGGCAGCCACAGGGCTTCTGAGGCTTTAATTCTTATGAGAAGAGAGTCTCCTATGAAGTAAGTGGTGGATTAGAACTACTGAGCTTTCATTAGAAGCTCATAGCATTGTGGACTATCATCAAAGTCAAAGTCATTTCAGTGGAGGAGTCAGAACTGACAAATAGTTAATCCTCTAGTGGGTATTTGTTGGCATTGTTCTTACTATCAAATCACAATAGATTCATAGCTTACCCTCCAGCAGATTTTGTAGGCAGAAAATACCAAGGGAGGAGACTGTGCATCTTTCTGCCATAGAGCATCTGGAAGATTTGAACCATGGGTCTTTGGGTTGGTAGTGCAACACTTATTAGACTACAGTTCATGTTAAATTAGTAGTGAAAACACACAAAGATTTGATTAGATAACATCATTTTTAGGAGTGAAAATGGCAAAGAACTATCTAACAAAGCCAAGAAGTGCAGTTCAGATGAATTGTCTACCAGACAATGAGACTAGAAGCAGAACTTGGATCCAGGAATGTAAGTTGAGAATCACTGTCAGATATTCGCAAGTAGCTTAAGTCACTTTATCCTCCTTCTAAATTCTGGAAACAAAGGCCTATTGATCTATCAGTAAAGTTTCAAAAAAGGAACATAGTGTTAAGATTATTTGCATTAAAGTTTAATATTATATAGTGACTTTTTTGTTCTTTATGATTTTTTTTTTTATCCTGCAATCTACTTTATCAGCACTACTCTTGTATATTTCTAGTTGCCTTTGGCTTGGTATATTTTTCCTACCCCTTTATTTTCAGTCTGTCTTTATTTTCACTTTTCAGGTATTTCTCTTGTAGATAACATGTCACTGGGTTTTTGTTTTTATTCAATCTGCTACTTTTTTCTCTTCACTGGTGGATCAGGGACCTAGAAAGAAAACCAAACACTATACAATTCATCAGGGAAAAGCTAGGAACTACTTTAGAATCCCTAATCCATAGCATGAACGAACTTCCAAGCATAATACAAAGCCTATAACCAGGAGAGAACAGAATAGATGAATGAGAACTTCTAAGAATCAAATCCCAGTGCACAACAAAAAACTTCTCCAACAGAGTAAAAAAGGAAGCCTACAGCCTGGGGGGAAAAGATATTTGACAATGACATATCTTATAAGAGACTCATCTCTAAAATTTAGAGAATGCTCCAGCACCTCAACAAGAAAAAGGTAAACAATCACAAAATGGGCACAGGGTATGAATAGAAACTTCATCAAAAACCCTCAGATGGAAAACAAATACACAAAAGAAAAGTTCAAAAAATTAGGCATCAGAGAGGTGTAAATAAAAATAAATATGAGATATTATCTTACCCTAGCAACAACAGCAGAGTTCAACAGGAGAGCAAATAATAAGTGCTGGCTAGATTGTGAAGTGATTGGAACTCTTATTCACTACTGAGAGGAGTGTAAAATGGTGTAACCACTATGGAAGTTAGTCTGACAGTTTCTCAAAAAATGGAAATGCAAATAGTCTTTGACCCAGAAATTTCACGACCAGGAATATACCCTAAAGAAACTAGAACTGTGATTCAAACAAATGTATGCACAAGCATGCTTATTGCTGTATTACAATAGCAAAGAGATAGAAGCAACCCGATGTCCATCAACGAACAATTGGATAAAAACCAACCAACCAACCAAACAAACAAACAAACAAAACCCCCATAAACCTCCAAAACAAAAACAAAACTATGGCACAATTACACAATGGAATATTATGCAGCATTAAAAACAGTGAACTTGTAAAACATTACACAACATGGAATACCCCGGAGGAAATTATGCTGAGTGAAAAATATCAGTCACAAAAGAACAAATGCTGCATCACACCACTACAATAAAATAGGGCTGCCATGGGATTGGGGGAAGAATAAGAAAAGGGTGACTAGATAATGAACACTTCACCAGAAAGGCCGAGGGAAAGAACTGTTTACAAAGAATGTATGGGAAGGCATGATAGGTATGGCAACAATCCGGAATAAGAGTGCATTGCAAAACAGACTCAGCGAGAGAGAAGGAAGAGGGAGGGAGGAAAATGTGCAACATGAATGAATGAATGAATGAATGTTGTTGTTGTTGTGTACCGTAAAGTCAGAACCAACCCATAGCTGACAGTTCAGTGAGTTTTCGGAGGCAGGAGGTATTGCCCAGGAGAGATTGCACAGGAGAGACTGCCCATCCTTCTACTGAATGAATGATTTTTTTTTTAAATCACAATTAGCAGAAAAACTTGACACTTACTAAAAAAAAAAAAAACAAAAAAAAAACAGGAATAATAAAGGAGATTTGTCATTAAAAAAATTAAAGGTAAAGTTCTGGTTGAATCCTAGTTCTATACCTTGTTGTTATGTACCATAGAGTCGAAACCAACTCACAGCTGACCCTCCAGAGAGTTTTCAGAAACAGTTAATCACAGGGGAGGAGAGGCTCATCCTTCTCCTGCAGAGTAGCTAGTGGCCTTGAACTGTGTGCCTTTGGGATTGCAGCACAGTTTCCTGCCATTAGCACACTAGAGATCCCTACCTGTGTAATCTTTCTATGTATCACTAGACACACACATGAGATTCCAGACTACATGAAAACATACCCCATTAACCCTACTACTTCTAGTCCCAATTCAAGTTCCCTTTAATTGGATTCCAAATGAAATCTCTGGGTGGCAGAAACTCACTGAGTGACTCCACTCATGAGAGACAGACTTGGTGATCTGCCTCCTTTAAAGATTACAGCCAGAAGAAAACTGTTTATGGAGCGGTTCTACTCTGTAACACACAGAGTCTTTATGGGTTCAGATCTGCTCATTTCTAATAGCTGGATTTCAAAACATTTATTACCACATGCTCTCTAGATAATGAAACAAAGGGTAGTGGAGAGAGAAGCCAAATTTTAAAAACACAATGTTTTTAACGGATTGTATTATGGAGTATTTTCTTTTAGCCAGTTCTACAGAATGACTTAGATACAGAGTACAATGCTAGGGCAACCCCCAAGGGTCCTGAAGCTTAAACGTCACTCACCTCCTGGTGTATCTGCTGCTGTTCCCTGCAGTTTCCATGGAGTCCAGACTCCAGTTCGTGGAGACAGACAATAAACACATCAACGCAATAATAAACAGACATTTTCAGGTAGTCATTGTTCTATAATGGAAATAAAATATTACAACCTCTAAAGAGTTACTTCAGGCAAGGAAAGAGGAAATTTCTCAGAAGGAGGGTTTTCAGGAGATTTCACTGAGGAAACAGTGTTTGAGTTGAGATCTGCAACCAGAGAAATCGAAATGTCTAACCATTTAGACCAAGACCACGTGGGATGGAATGGCTAGTCTGACTCATGCCAGTATTCACTAACAGTGCTAGGACGAGAACTGAGACATCCTGAGGATCTCAAGGTATCACACCTGATATATATGAAATGTAGAAACTGAGGTAAAAAATCTCCCATAAATTTATGGTGAAGGAAATTATTATTAAATTTTAATCATTAAAGAGCCAAAAGCTGGGGAGTAAATTCAATAGTCTGTCATTTCAGTATTTCTAAAGAAGATCAGGTGGCTTTAGAGAGAGCCATTTCGAGACTTGAAATGATTAAAAGAGAAAAAAGAGAAACTCTAAAAGCTATGAGAGATCAGCCAAGTCTATGTTCTCCACAACTCTGGTGGCCTAGTGGTAAGAAGTTATGCTGCACTTTGAAAGGTAAATGGAGTCTGCCAGCTGCTCCATGGAGAAGGATGGGCAGTCTCCTCTCATGAGATTCATTGCCCGTGAAATCCTGCTAGAGGCTTGGCAACAACAACTCAAACATACAAATCAGTCAGTTAATATATAGAGACAAATACATAGACAGATAGTACATGTCCAATATAGACACACATATAGATTCTTTTGTTGCTCATAGCATATGAT